CAGCTACGACAGTGGTATTTTCACAATGGTATTCCTGGACCATTGGACTGGGCAGTTGCCTGTGCACATCGATAAGGTATTGCTAACTTTCTGGCATGATTGAATTGTATTATGAAAAAAATATTGTTAGACTTCACATGTTATCGTCTAACATGCTATTGTATTGGATGGTTTGACTGAGCTAGACAAATATTGGCAAGTATCGAGTACTATACACGGCTCGGTTGTGCACGTCAGAGCAAAATTCAAAATTGGCGGATATCATAGCATCCTCGGAAATTCCAAAAAAAAAAAATAGTTGAAGTATCTCTTGGGTCCTAAAGTTGAGACTATTTTGTAAAATGTTATAAAGAAACACTGATATTTTGTTTCGGAACACTTAATCAGCAATTTTTTTTAAAGGCTTAATGCAAGCCACATTAGAATCTGTACCATATTTTAGTTAAGATGTAATTAGTTATTTATGCTGTATATCAATTGTCTCGGTTGTGGTTCATTGCAATTTTTCTATTATCATCTTTTCTATGAGTTAACCTTAATGTGAGAGAACCGCTCATCAGGGTTGAATTGCAAATTTAATTGGTTCATCCTCATGGATTTTGATAACAAACGGCGATTGCCTAAAAAATAAATCTGACCCTTAGAAAAAACTTTAGTTACTTTTTGGCCAGACTACTCTTTTAATGCGAATGAGTAGTAAAACGAAGTTGCATGAAAATTTGACCTTTTTATGATGAGCACTTTACCCCAAACATTGATGACAATTACATAATGTTGACGGACTGTTACACATTGACTAGTTACTCCGCTCAAGATTTGCCATTAGATTTTCATCGCATACTCTGTTAATAGGAAAAATAGAAGTGTTTACATAAAATTTGAGTACGATAGTACTTTTAGTTCCAATTCATATCCTCTTTTATTGACATTAGACCAAATCTCAAACTCTAGTGGACATAAACAATTTGCAGTTTAAATACTAAAGCAGATCAACCACCCAAATTTTTATTTTTACAAAACCTACAGTAACCATTCTCCAAAGCACATGATAAAAAATTATTGTTAAGTTCCTTTGACAATAACAGTAGCAATTTTTTCTGTAACTGGTTACTAACTCCACGTAACACTATTCGAATATATGGTACTGCCGCTTTAACGTTTTGTACGTAAATACTGCTGCAACTTTCACTCCATGGTTGCTAGTTTATATTTGAGAGGTTCCGCGAATTAACTACCACCTGGCCTTTTTCATCCCGATCAACACACAACCATTATTTCATTCTCTCACCCCATATTCACTAATCTAATCATATGCCCCAAAGGAACTTAATAATGTTGGTGGCGGATTTAGTGAGTTAAGGTACCAATATCGGTACTGTAGTTGTGGAAGAAAGGCAGCTCTGAAGATCGTCGAGTCACAAAAACCAACGAAGGGGTTGCTGTACTTCGTCTGCGAAGGAAAAACTTGTGCTTTTTTCGCTTGGTGTCATCCAATAGAGAGGAATCATGAGCAAGTTCAGACTACCTATTGCCCTCCCTCACCTAAACGACAAGCAATAGGCAGAGAAAGTTCCTTTGACAGTCTCGGAATAGTGATCCATGAATCAAACTCTTTCCCGTATCATGTGCATTGAATCGAACAAGACATTTGACAAATGAAAATCTTCATGATGATATCGGTAGCGGTCGCCGTTTTGTTGCTTGTAATAACAATTTTTCGCTGACACTACTTTCAATTTTTCGACTCATATGATACGAACTTCGCCTGTAGTTTGTCGGAGATGTATTTTGTATGGGCAAAGTAGCTGACGTCTAACTACTATTGACTTTCCATTTCAACTATTGTGTTTATTGAGCACTACGAGATTACGAGGTGGTTACATTAAGACACGAAATTCATATTGACGAACTTAATACACGAGTTTGTTTATTGAGTTAGTCACAAATCGTGCATTCTTACTTACAGTTTTGTTTGTTCTTATTTACAACAATAACAATGTTAGGTCATCCAACAAATAGAAGAAGGTAAAGTACAAACAGTGCAATATAGCATTACTGTGTAAGGTATTAGTGAAACTTATGGTCAATAATGTCTAACTCTGCGATGATAAAAGCTGCGAAAACATATGTTGAAATCTGTAAACGACTAGTAACAGCACGTAACACGTATATTCAGTCTCGGTACTATAAATCGCATGCTTTGTACGTATCGAAACTTATCCGACATGGTTCAGGCATTGCATGTGGGTCTAAAGTCTCATCTCCTGACTTTTACTAGTTGGCGTCATCTGCGTTTGGGGAGGTCTCACAATTTTAATGAGATGTTCGAGACGACCTCGCTACATCAAATGTTTTGGGGATTGAAACGATCATCATAAAAATTCTCAATAGACACTTAATAAAGTGTCTATTGAAGCTTTAATGTGTCAATGGGAGGAATTATCATTTGTGCTAAGGGCAATAGCACAAAGAAGAGAAGAGAAAAGGTTCATCGAATATTAACTAGTTCTATTATCACTAGTTGTAACATCAGAAATATCCAGTTGGAATATTATAATATTTTAAATAGAGCAGACGAAAAGCTGCTGATTGCAAATTCATAAGTTATCATGAATTGTAACATACACCTAACTGGTTGTAACGCAATCTGTACATAGTGAAACGTACAGGTCACTGATGTGTAGCTCTTTATCCACGTGACGCTTTATATATTTGTACATGTCATTTCATGACAAAAGCTGCATAATTTGTTTTATTGTCTTAATAGGATTTGACACAGTTCAATGGCATGCATGTGCCTCTACAGTTTCCACTGCCATGACAATGAATGTTTGGTATGGAATGCGTTGTCCAGCGATATTTTAGCACATTGTGAGGGTCCTGCAGACTATAAAAGGGCGCGATTGCAGTAGTATATCCCTTAACAACAAAAATTTTTCCGTCCACCTTCCATTGCTGCACAAACATTTTTCATTTTAAATAACTTCACAATTCCCATTTCATTCTACTGAGGGTTGGCAATGAACCCGTGCTTGAAATTCATTATTAGTATTCTTCAACCCTCCTCTAACTTCAATTGCAGTGTCATCAATAGAGGATTCACACAGAAATTAAGTTCTTCGATGCCAAATAGCAGCCAGTACGTTGCATGATGTTCGAGAAGATCTCGCTAATTTAATAAGATGTTCAAGAAGGCCTCGCTACATCAATTGTTTTGGGGTTCGAATCGACCATCTCTATGTTCTCGTTAGACACTTACTAAAGTATCATTAAAATATTAATTGTTGGGGGGAGGACTTATTGTTTGTGCCAAGTGCAATAGCACAAACAAGAGAAGAGGAAAGGTTCATCGGATATTAACTAGTTCTATTATCAGTAGTTATAATATCGAGAAATTTTTAGTTATAATATCACTAATTTTAACTAGATAAGACAAAAAACTACCGATTGCAAATTCATTAATTATAATGAATTGTAACATTTAAGTAACTGGTTGTAACTCAACATGTACATGGAGTAATCAAAATTTGTTGCATTTTAAATATTAGTTACCCTATTTTCAAATTAGTTGTCTCAACGTAGTATCATGTTCTTCTGTGAAACTGTTACTTATTATGTGGTTATGTGGAACTAAGCCGAGCCTCCAATTGTAACTTCATGGCGTACTGGTGGAGTATTGCGTATTGAAGTACCTCTAATACTATCTGTAATACTCATCGTTATTACAATTGTAAACAAATTGTCTAAGTTTTAACATACACCCAAACAAGGTAACAGCACGTAACACGTATATTCAGTTTCGGTAAACGACTAGCAACAATACGTAACACGTATATTCAGTCTCGATGATCGAAGGATGAAATTAGAGGTATTTTGTCGCTGGCATGGCCTCCGCGTCCCGAGAACAAGGTCAGCGGATCTTGTTATAGGACCACAAGCCAATGATGCAAGCGTATTACATTGACTACAGCGAGAAGTTATGCAGATGGAGCGTAGGCTTCACAGATTCCACGAGATCCAGGCCGTAAAAAGACATGGTATTAGAAAACAATTTGATGTTCAGCACATTTTAGCAGATCCCATGCTTATATCCGACCCGGACCTATCTGACTTTACTGAATCAAGCGACGATGACTTTTAAAGGTACATACCTCATTGTCTAATGTATGACGGCGTTCCCAGGTGTTGTATGGGATACAACTGATAACAAGGGATGTAGTTCAATGTTCGTCAGGGTAGCAATAAAACTATACTCATTATAATCTCTATTCAAACAAATTGCTTACCACATTTGGATATTAATGATGCCTGTTAAACAGTCGTAACTAGTTGTAACGCAACAGTAACATATCCCAAACTGGTTGTAACCCATTGTGTATTGTTCGTTCTTCCTTTTCGTTGCATTGTAAAACTTCATTTTAATGTTACAAATTAGTTCTCCAAGGAATCATTTTCTTATGCGCACCTATTACCAGCATGTGGTCGTGACCTGGCTTGATCATAATTCAATTAACCTAAAAACTTATAATACCAATTGATGTGCCTGTGATACATCATGTCAATGGTGCGCTAATTTCGTCAAGCGATGCAAAACAAATGACCTAAATGATAATGTTTTTATAAAAATATCCCAATAATAATTCAAATTTAGCATCGTAATAAAATCAAGACAATTTATACTTTAGATTGTGTTATCTTATATATCATACCTTTGGCGATGCGATCTATGCCAATAAATATGTTATTAAGGTATGCAATTGAATATAGTACAATGGTATACATATCACGACAGCCATTCAACTGTTATTGTCGATTTAGTGAAAAATATCCAATCACAAAAAAGACGTTCAATTCTATTGTAAAATTGTTATTTCAATTTTTTACCAACTTTATAATTTACTAACAATTTTATACAACCCAATACAAACTATTAATGACTACTAACACTAGATGCGATTACAATTGTAATCCACTTATTTAAATTTGAAAAGAGTGAAACATCAATGGTGCCTGTACAACCTCATCAATAAGTTGTAACAGCATATTAACTGCTTGTAACGTATATATGCAGCATTCCCAGGTTGGGACAACCACTTAATGTCTCGTTCAAAAAGTATAGTTACACATAATTCACCAACCTTATTCTCAGGGGAGGTGACGTCAACGCGTAGTTGCAATCTCTGGGTGTTATATCTTCCCTGAAATGCGTAACGATGGCAAATCAGCAAATATTATTAATGAAACATACGATTAATGATATACGATGCCCAAGCCTCCAATTAACAACATTACATAAATATGTGCTGTAACGATAAAAGTTTGTCACCTGGGGTGATGGTGCAAATACATGATATGTATCAATATCACAGTGTGTTGAAATTGCCGCACGCTCCTCCTACATTACATAGTATAAGTAACCGACTGTCAACAAATTATTACCAATGCCTATATTGCTCACTTATAAAATTAAATTGGACTAGATATTATAACAAAAATGATATATCAGACCATTAAGACATCTCTGACGGAGTTATGCTTGAAAAAAATAAAAAATATGGGATGCATCCATTCTGTAGGGACACTTGCAGGAGGCCCCTGATTAGCCAAACGGTGGACCTTCGAATAATAAAAATTAATATGTTATTAAAGCGAGCATACGTTAACTACATAATATTACATGATTTGACAGCGTTCGGGTGCCCGCCATTATAATTAAAGAAAAAAAGGTAGCTCTACTACACAAACAAGAAGGTTTTTATTTTAACTACTAAATGTATGCATACCGTTTCACTTTCATCGATATCGGAAGCAACAGCGTTTGAAGGGCCATTCACTGTCTGGCTCATTGAATGCGTCTACGAGTTTCGTATGAGCCAAATTATTGTATAAGACAAACAAAATAGATATATCAGGAGAGATGACGGCCGTAACAACATTATCACACAATGTAACATTAATGTAACTACTTATGCTGTTAGAAACATCCAAATAAAAGCAAGAGTTATGTCCATTTTATACTAACCGAAACAGAGTCAATAGATGAATGGCATCCCATAAATATGTATTCCTCAAATGCAACCGATGTCAGCAACGATTTTGAGACCTACAGTATTGATACGGCAATAATATTATTTCATAATGAATGGTACCTAAACTTTAGTTAATAGTATAACGATAACTTAGTTTAAGCATAAATGTTCTCCCAGTACCAAAATTTGATCCATACCGTAGTCTGTGTAGTTCTTGATAATCTAGATTTTCTTTTTACTTTGTCAAATTTATCGACCTAACTTCGCATCACTCTACTTTTCTTCCCACTCCCTCATTTTTTAATGCCTTTTGCGACTACTGCCTCCCCCATTTCATTACAATTTCAATTTTATCTCGTTCCTCCATATTCAGATTTTTTTGATTTTGCAAAGGTTGCTCTTCGCTTTTTGAGAGAAGGAGCTCAACACTTTTTGCCAAATCGAATATGACAGTGATTGCTACTTTGCTGGTGTCTTCCGACATTACTGCTCGAATTGCGACCTTAATCATGGCTGGAGCGAGCTCCCGATAACGAGTTGAAATCATTCCTTTAGGGTTAGCCACAACTTCCCGTCCTTGCTGATCAAAACAGTCTCTATCCCGAGCTCTTTTAGTCCATCGCCTCTTAATGTATTCAGGAGGAATTATTTGTATGCCCACGGTATCAAACACCTTCAACGCGTGCCCACATAAAATGCCTCATTCTCGTATTTTTTGCAACTACAATGTATACTTAGATCATTCCGATTGAATACCACTATTCTTTCAGGTCCTCCATCATACCTCATGACCGCAAACTCCACAAACATCGCTACATCTTTTTGTCTCAATATAACCATAACTGTTGACTCGACATATTCATTTTGGGATGTAACAAATACGGTTGGTGAATACGTCTCTGATGCATGCACAAGCATAGGTGTTTACCTTAACCCTACCATAGGGAGCTTTTGCCTCATTTCATATTCTGCGATCAGTTCATTATGTCTCTTTTCATCAACCACCGGATTGAAATGTCTAAAGAACTGCACAAGATCATGATCCAGTTTCAAATGATTTTTAATTGCTGCATTTAGGCTTTCGCTAAGTTGGGTGCTTCGCATTCCCGAGGTCCATCTTTCTTTCATCATGCACCTTGCCCATTTATCACGAATTCGATACAACCCGGAGAGCCATTTATTATTTTTAAGATTGTGTTTCTTCACCATCGCCTCCCACACCCTATTGAATTGTTCCATTTCTTCAAACTCATACATGCAGGCACCAAACATGTATGGAAGATCACTATTTTCCTTATAGTGATTGCCAAGATGTTTCATAAAATTACGCCTTATGTGAAACGTATATAGACCGTGAAATGTTTCAAACATGACAACTGAAAAAGCGGCTGCCATGGTGTGATCTTGGTCGGTTAGTATGGTACTTGGATGCTTTCCGCACATTGCTTCTAGAAATGTACCAAACACCCATTTGAAAGAATCTATAGTCTCATCATATATAAGGGCAGCACCGAATATCACAATTTGCCTATGTTGGTTAAAACCCACAAACACTCCAAGTGACCGGTATTCTTTATTTGTTTTGTACGTTGTGTCGAATGTGACTACATCCCCAAAAAAGTTGTAGTCAATTAACATTCCTGCATCAACCCAAAAGATATTCGTTATCTGCTCTTCACAGTCTAGCTGTACGGCATGAAAAAATGATGGATCCTCGAGTGTTTGCTCTTGAAAATAATTCAACATGCTACCTGTTTCTCCATATTTCAAACTCCTTTTCCGTCGAGTACGAAGATATCGTTTCAAGTTTTCTCGAGTATATCCCACATTTTCCATCCCACCTGCCTCCTTTCCCATAAGCTCGTGGTTCTGTTTCAATAAAAACCCAGCATCCACGCTTATTTCAGTTTGGAATTCTTGAGCCTCACTCACTTTTCTTTGTAATGATATCATGCAACCCATGGTTATGTTCTAAGACAAGGTCATGCACACGGTACTTCATTGTCCCTCTAAATAACACGATAACCATTTTAGCTCCACACCCCATTTTCGTCGGCGCTCGAGTTTTCTTTGGCATCACATCACATTCGTACTTGCATTTTACACCTTCCTTGCCGCAACTATATCTCCTAGACGTGGTCACACCGTTTTTGTCTTTATTTAGATAGTTTTTGCGTACATTAAAACCCATTTTAAAGGCATATTTGTTGTAAAACTTGTATGCATTCTCTTTACTATTGAACTCCATTCCTAATTCAGGGGTCCCATCTTCTGCCAATTCGCTACAATTCATTACTTCTGCTCCTACCAATTATGCATCAAACACCATAATTTGCAACAGTTCATGAATAGTATGTACATAAACGACAACATAAGTATATATTACCATTCATAATGTGTTATGTTACACCCATTACTCGTGTACCGAATCCTATTATTACTCCCATCAATATGATTAATGTTGTACAAATACTCGTATATCAAATCCTATTATACTCTAAGACAACGACATTATATATGTACAAATACAATTCTGTGTACAATAAGTTATACGTACTGTAATGCGTTGGTCACATGATGTAAGTGTATTTTAACTGTATGTACATCCACTCTGGTGATTATATTTAGGTTCTAGGTACTTTGTTTCACTGGACCTTATGTCATTCGTCAATGACAACCGCCGAAGCCAACTCTGCATTTTCTACTGTTTCTATATTTTGAGGACCAAACAAGTATTCTCTACTCATAGTAATATATTTATTACATCATGTAATTTACTTACAACACCAGATACACCCATTTATTATTCACATAGGTCGGTCTTTTCCTCTGCTTCACCTCATTCAACTCTGCACCTCCATTTTATACACACCGCATGGTCAGAAGAGAGGGGCAAACTAAGATTGTGTCATGGGCATGGACCAACTATTGGACGCACAATGATTCACGTCAATTGTAATACAGTGCCTATAACCTGTAACTAATTTACAACAGAATGTACATTCATTCACTTGTTAAATATGATTTTGTTTCTCTCATCTTTCCTTAATTTCTTTTGACGGTTTACTTGAATACATATCCCTAGGTCTTCCAATAACTACTATCCCATTATAGTTCATCACTGAAAAGCTGAATGCTCACAAACATATAGATACGGTACAACTTTACTTTTCTTCTATCATATTCATATCTAATTTCATCCTTCATTTAACAGATGTGCATTTGGGTGACAAATGATTGGCTACAGTTAGTTACATGGTTCAGTCACGTTACCTTAGTCTGCTAATACGCTCTACGTTTCACCAAACTCAGAGAGCGCAGCTGCTTCTGCTATTAAGTTGAAGGACAAGAATTTCCTCTGTTTGCTTCAACCTTGCCGCCTACCTTGTAAGCGTTTAAAATGGATACAACATTTGTTGACCCAGTAGCCGAAGTCTCTTCTCAGTTTCTCGGTAAGTTTCTTGAACGGAAACTGAGAAAAGGGACTAGGTTTTCTGAGAAAAGAAAACTAAGATACGAGTTTCTGTCAACACCCTACCTTCAGACGGAGCACGCCAAGACTCTTCCCTCAATTTTGTTTTCTGCGGGTCATTCAAAATTTCAACTTGCTTTCAAATTTTGAACTCTACCGTTTGCTCCGTCTGATTCCATTTGGAATCAGAAATTTTTTTATTTCGAACGGCGTCGTTTTTACCCTTTCTTAAGCTTTCCTGACGTGGATCATTTTTCTCCTCATGTTTTTGCTTGTGAGAGGACCGTTCAAGAGCGGTCGTCCTGCCCCGTATCCAGAAAGGAGACATGAATGTATGTTTTTGGCTGTTTTGAACTGTGCATTTTGAAAATTTTAAAGTATTTTTAGAGTTTAATCACGGTTTGAGAAATCTAGTAAAAATAAGCAAAAAAAAAAAATTCCCAAACTGACCAATCTGTGTCCGATGTAAAACCATTGCGGCCCATATAGACCGATAACCAATGGCTGCGAGTAGACTCCATAGAATTTAACCCGACCCGTTTTGGCTTCTGCCGACCTTTTGCCTTCTTTCCTCCCACGTATAAAAACAGTGGCCGTTTGTCTTTCAGTCACGAAAATTCAAAATCTGCTACCAAAGTAATAAGAGGGTGCCGATTCAATCTGGAATTTGGTCGAATACAGGGCGTTTCTTCATCAATTTCCTTCCTGGTATGTGAAATATAACTTCTCTCCATCTCTTTCTTTCTTTTTTTATTTGTGTTTCTGTTGAAGATTGGAACTGCCCATTTCTTTATTTGCAATTTTGGAGCTGTGTCTAAATTAAGGATTGCGGAACTTCATTCGTATTATGCCTACATGATTTGTGGGTTTTTCTCGTTTGTCGTTGTTTTAGTTGATTGCTTTATTTATTCTGCAAATAGTGTTCATTCTTTTATGCATATTAAAACACCGGATTTTTTGTTCCAATTGGAGTTGGGCGCCTTCTGTTTTGTCTGCTGGAAACATTAATCGTCAATTATTTTCTGTTATGGAGCTGATTGTAAAGGCGTCGATTGTAGTAATATGCCCACTGGGCCTAATAGTAGCCAGTATACTGTTTCTTTTTCTTTTTTTTTTTGAAGTGCAATTTGTGACAAATTTCTTAGCAAAGGAAGCTAGCTACTTATTCATGTGTGATCCAGATGTGTAATGTGTCTAATGCGGCAATTGAATCAGTTATCTTTTAAATGAATATGTCCGTGAGTCAAATCCATGATGACTTTAAGTAGACTGAAAAATAGTTGAAATAGAAAGATTAAAAAAAAAAAAATCTGAAGAGTTCATCTATTACAAGCTTCTTGAGCTTATTGGGTGGAACTAAATGAAAGAATGTAATCCTTCCATTTTTTTCCTTGGTATGTCCAGAAATTAACGAGGCTGTTAAGATCCCATGTGAAGGCCATTTGTAAACTGGAGTGAAAATGACATTTGAAATGAATTCAGTTTAAGCTCTTGGAGTTCTTGTTATTCTGTAGTTCATGTTGAAGAATTCAAAGAAGGAAACTAGAGCAATTGGAATTCTTCTTTCTTCTATACTTGGTTAAATTCGGAGAAATTATTGACTGGTTCAACACATAATTTTCATGTGTAATACTAGTTAATGCAGAATGCTGGGTCAAAATCCCGGTGTTGACTATACATAGCTTCAAATGCTTATCGGTTTTCAAAGCATATGCCTTCGGTCTTACATATCTGTCATAAATTGTATTATATGGAGACTAAACATCTAGAGTTAGGAAAGAAGGCTGTAGTTTTATTTACTGCTGGACTTTTCCATTGGACTCTGAAAATTTTTGCACTTACTGCAGGTTCTTTTATGGAAAGTTTTTTGAGGACTGGGTGGGGTTGGTTGTGGGTTAAGTGACTGAGACACCCCTATTTCTTGAGACAAAACATCTAGAGTTACAAAGAAGGCTGTACTTTATTCTCTGCTGGGACTTTTCCATTTGAATCAGAAACTTTCTGCAGGTTATACTAAAAGTTTTTTGAGGGACTGGTTGGGATTAGTGGTTAGTTATGTAACCGAGACATGCCTTTTTTGTGGGTAAGGATAAACAAATAGGTGCAGCTTAACATAATGAAATAGATTGGGCATATTTAAGTTAGGATCAATTTTGTTGCTGGAATGAGTTAGTTTATTAAGATTTGTTTGCACCATTTTGTATAGGATTTAAGTCCTCCATATACGAAGGTGGTTGGTAAGGTAATAACGGTACAGGTGAAAGGAATGGTGAGAACCAAGCTGCAAACTTATGATGAAGAAAAATGATATCACTGAGCTAAAACTTATTCTCTTGGTTACTACGCAATTGCCTAGTGAAAGGTTAGTTGTAAAGGACATCTCTGAATGCGAAAATCTCACTTAGTCACCTCATTTTTCACCTCCAGCTACCTTCTCTCCCATGGCCTCCAATTGCATCATAGTCCAAGCTCGATTTTGTTAGTACTCCATTATCTGCTCTCCTTTTCCTTGGTTCTCCACTTTAGACTCGCTCTCATACTGGAATCATGCACTAGAATTTCCACCATACACAAGTTTTGCCTTGTTGCCAGTTAAGCCATCTTCAGTCTCATTATCAGATGATGTTTCAGTATGTCTCTTCTGAGTTTTGAGAATCCCATCAACTTCCAAGATGAAATTATCAGCACACCCTGGCTATAGCAGTAAGGTTTTTGAGGCACATCGAAAACCAGAAAACTGAGGAAGCAAACTGTGAGTCAAATTATTTCACCACTGTGGAGGCATTTGTAGTTCCAGTTTGTCACAACTGTGATCCATTTGTTGCTATATATAGTTAACTATTGAAACTTAAGAGGAGATTTGGGTTCCTGGTTTCGCAGATGAAGGTGTTTTGGCAGTCTATTGATGCCAATATCTAGTTGTGGAATTAGTTGAATTAAACAGCTATATGTTTCCTTTCACTTTCACATTCTTAATTCAACCAGAAAAGGAAATACTGATGAAAACTTCACTTCTTTTTCCCAAGTCTCAAGAAAAAGGCCCTTACGAAATAATCTGATAAATTTTGTGGGGAAGCAGATCAGAAACAGACATAACATACAAATGATTTTCTGAAGAACTTTAATGCTTCATATACATCTTAAAAACATGTTTACAAGGTTTTCTGCTTGGTAAACATTAACCATCACTAGCTGCAGCTAGTTCAGGACCCTATTTTACTAGCCTGATGGACCATATCTTTATCCTAAGCAGCACAATCATTCCCTTCATTATGAGCTTGTAGACTTTCTTGTGGAATAACTCGATTTTCTCGGGCATCAGGGGATGATGAAATACTTATTAAGACTAGTCTGTGATATTGATGCAATTTGTAACATGTAATACGGGCTAGATCAACCGATCATGCAACTATGTGAAATTTTTCAAGAATTATCAACTCTGTCTTTCTAGCTCCAGGATTGCTGTTTATCCTTTAGCCTTTCTCTTTCCATTTGCACATACTTTCTCCTTCCATTTGCACATACTTTCTCCTTCATCGTTCTTGTCTGTGTACTTCTTTTCTTCTTAAGCAATGTAAGAAAGATGTTATTCAGGTAGGTGTCTGATTAGGTAATTGGTCAGGCTGTAGATTATCAATGCAATGATCAGTAACTGACCCAAGGGGATGATCAGGTTTGTGACTCTGACACTGATCAATCTCCATACTGAGGTAGCAATGGCAAATTTTGAAGTGTACAATTGGGTCGTGATGGTGAGACTAAATTGGTCCTGGTTACTCTCTGAGAAGAATTGGAAGAAGGGAGGTGATTATCAGATTTGTTGCATTAGTTGCCTCACTGTATAATGTTATGCAACCAGTAGGTTGTATTGATGCATATTTTGGACCAGTAGTTCAGTGATGGTAATGGGTTCACTGACTTTTTTTGTGGCTGTCAGAAATGATACGTGTTCTGGTTGAGTTTTGATTGTTTTCTTTGGATAGATTGACCATTCATAAAAATATCTCTCTACGAGAAATTTTATTGTCCAATTGTGATTTGACTATTGATGGTAGCAGTCCTGATGCTCTCAGAACAATTTTATTACCCATTTAAGATAAGACCATCGATGCTTAACATGCCTGATGCTGTAATGTTACCCCTGATCATTAATAGGTCTGCTTGTGGATTGATTGGCTGGAGCTCCTGATTCTAAATTTTGCAGTTTGTAGCCAATGCACTGTACGGAAACGCAAGAAACCACGGGGGACACTAATAATTGCGTTTTGGCATTGGCTGCAAATAACAGTGCCACGAATAATCTGCTAGAAAGAAGGCCCTGGGAGAAATTGCAGGCTGAAACTAAATTGATAGACAGCTCTGCTACTCCTTTATGTGATAGAATTGGTGTAGACAGAGGCCAGTGTCCAAAACCTGCTGCTAAAGTGAATTCAGGGCAGGGAAAGAAAAAGAGGGACAAGCATACCACAAGGCACCCTAATGCTGTAAACCTTGATCACCGGGTGGACAATATGACCAATAATTCTGGGATCCTAAGCAATGTTTCTGCATGTGCTATGGACAATATCAGTTCTGGTCGAGTTTCAGAGTTGATACCCAATGAAGGAAGAAGTAAACAGAAAAGGAGGTACACTATGGAGACTGATGAGAAGACTGTGCAATCAGAAATTTCTAATCTCATGACTGGCAGTCCTGTTGATGAAGATGTATTTCCCGTATCAGTTAAGTCTATCCCAACAGAAGATTCAGAAATGAAGAACAATGTTGCAGGTTATTGTTTATCTGGGGGGAGGAAAGAAGCAACTGAGGAATGTAAGAAGCATATCCTTTCTGAGAGTGCTGATATTTCTGTGAAAGTTGAAGCTAGAAGTTGTAGAGCTACCTTGAAATCAGAAAAGTGTCTTCATCCTCTTAATTCAGATGGGATACCCGTCTCTGCGGGCAAGATTAAGGTTGAGAGCAGTTTGCTGGAGAGTCATGATGATGATGAGGGGGTTACTAATGATTCATCAGAAATGAAGTTTCAGAAAACCTGCCAAAGAACTTGTCAAATAAGAGAAGTAGTCAAGACTTATTCCAGGAAAAGGAAAAAAGTCTATGATTACCCTGTGGTTGACTCAAAGTCCTTCCAGGAGGATACTGGCTCTTTAGCAGAAGAGAACATGAAAAAATCTTTTTCAGATCATGCAGTTCAAATGTATTCAGGTGGCTGTAGCAAGGATTTGAATGAAAAGAAGTTGGTTGAAGGAGTTTTGGAAGATCTTCTACTGGACAAAGTTGATGATGGCTATACAGATGTTGAAAGCCTAGGGATGGAGAACGAGAGACGTATGGACATAGATAATTGTAAGAGAAAAACAACTGAAGGTTGTCTGAATAAGGATGTGCCTTTAGTACACAGTGCTGAACAACATTTTGAGCAGTGTGAGAGGGTAAAGCCTGATCACGTCATGGGTACGCAGGGTGATTCAAGAATATCACATGTGGCTAAAGAAATTGATGACGAATCTGGAAAGATAGTCTCCGATGAATATGTGGATAAACACTCACTTCCATCACTATCAGATCTGAGCAATTCGAGGTATGCTACCACCCAGGTTGACAATTACATGAATAATTCACTCGGAAGATCTCTGATTGGCAGTTACGGAAAAAAGCTTCTCGTCCTTGATATAAATGGGCTGCTGGCTGATATTGTTCGTGTACCACATAGATGTATGCCTGATGCAATAATATCAGGGAAAGCAGGTTAGAATTAAGTTAAGATTAGTTTCTTGCCTATCCATTGTTAAAATGGATTCTGGTAAGACTTCTGACTTGTAATCCTTTTTTATCAGTTTTCAAGAGGCCATTTTGTGATGACTTTTTGCAATTCTGCTTTACAAGATTCAGCGTTGGTATCTGGTCATCAAGAACGAAGTACTCCTCCACTTTTCTTTTACTTTTTTTTTACTTAATGCATTTCTGCATCAATTCTTTCCCAGTGGAGGCTTTTTATTTTCCTTGAGGTGTACTATTAGGTTGTTGACCATTCTGACCATTCATATATTACAGGCGAAATGTAGAGTTAATTCTTGATTTTCTCATGGGGGATGCTAAGAAGAAGTTACTCTTTTGTTGGGTAAGTCTTTTTTACATACATTATCTACTTTACTGTCAGATCGTTTGTTGTGCTTGAGAGAGAGAGAGAGAGTCTTAAGGTTGAATACATACTAAATTTTACTATTTTTTAGTGTTTAGAGCCCTTTACTTTGTGTTTATTTTGCAAATCTGTGTATGTAAATGCATTTACTGGGTAGTAAATGAGCACGGTAGAATTCTGTCTTCCCTCAAGTATATCAAAATTACATATTTAAAAAGTTGTTGTCCCACATGCATCTCAGGGGCAGGGTTACACTACAGCATCAGAAACTCATGTTCCTCAAATAGCACCTCTATCAAGTACCTGATTTATGAATTTCATATTTTTTTTTCCCACAACATGTGGGTTTAAGTTTTTTTTCTTGTTTTCATCAATTTAAAACATTTTGATCTTTCACTGTTTGACTAAGAAGATATCCTTTTTTTGTTAGATATGATAGGCTTGCTAGCATGTAATACATTTAGTTGAACCCCAGAATACCCCTGGTTGCTAAAAAATACTTGTTGAATGATTATCTTGATATTGTGTTAATGGTTTTGATAATGCATATCTATCTGGTTTTGGTGATTGCATTTTAGAATTCATTCTAACTCAAGTTCGGGGCCTATGGCAACCCATGCAATTATTTTCTTTAGCTTGCTCTCCTTTATGAGGGTTGAGCAAAGTGAGCCAGCTATTTTATGGGCAATGGACAAGTTAAATTAGAATCTCTATATCATTTGTGTTCTTCAATTAGTGAGGTGCAACTGATTTCCCTTTAATTCTTAAGTTAACAATTGTTGAGAGTTTTACACAATTTGCTGCATTTGTATGTGGTCCTTGTTAGGCGAGTATACTTGGCTTAATTGGCAGATTTTCTTCTCAACCTCTGGATGTCATGAAATAAGTCATTTGGCATTGCCAATTTACATTCCATTGAGTTGTATATGGTGCATCCCTCAGACTCGTTAAAAGGTGAGCTATATGCTTGGAATGATTTAAGAACGCCTTGCTTGAGAGGTCGAGGTTCTGATTGATGCTTTCAATTCTTCTATAAAAACTTGTGTATATTGAAGTGCTAATAGAACAATTACGTTAGATAGTATTTTCTACTCGTGTTATACGTAGAGTCATAGGGTTTTAATGTTGTATGAAGTTGGATGTATTGGGTCTTGCCTTTCAGATTTTCTTGCTGCCCATGATTATTTGCTTGATAGCTTTTGGCTTCTTCAGGATCAATATCATTGTACTGAGACTGGTTTCAACACCGTTGAGAACAGAGAAAAGCCTCTCCTAGTGAAGAAACTTAAGAAATTATGGGAGAAGTATGAACGAAATCTACCCTGGGAAAGAGGAGAATACAATGAAACAAACACGCTTTTGATAGATGACTCTCCGCATAAGGCCTTAGGGAATCCAGTTAAGTTCAAAATCAATATGTCTCTACCAACATCATATCTTAGATGATTTAAACTGAAAAAAATTGAGCCTCTTTTTGTTTGTTGTTGTTTTTTCCCCCTTCTTTTTGGTATTCAAATTGTTTGTTAATAGGGCAACTATGTCTAAATTGGCTGTTTGTTCGTTTCATTTTCAGCCACATACAGCTATCTTTCCCCACTCATATCAATATTCAGATGAGGATGATAATTCATTAGGTAAAATTCTCACTTCTAACCATTCTCTTTCTTTAACCTCATTATGTGAGTTGCTTGGTCAGGGTTCACTAAAATTTTAGTGGCCTTAGTTGTGGGCGTGCAATTCCATCTCAAATTGTCTATCACCATGGAGTGGCCAAGATGCTATTCACCTCATTCCATTTGGCATCATCTGATTTTCTAATGAATTTTAAGGTGTCCTTTTGGTTTCTTTGACTTAATTTGGCATCCATCTTTCCTAAGCTACTTGCTAATTTGAGGAGAATCTCAAGTATGTGAAACCATGGCTCAATTGCTTGGAATTGAGTTGTTGCATGAAACACCTATTTGGTAAGGTGCTCTCTAGCCCTTCTCTTGCAGAATTATTCAAAGCATGAAAAGTAAAGTTATTCTTTAGCTGTAATTGTTGAACACATCTCTATTGATTTTTGTACAACACCAGACCATGTTATGTTCCAGGGTATGTCTCCACTTATGGGGTCCTGTTGGGATCTTCTTCATGGTGCTTTATTTTTTGGGCAGATGTTTCCTTGTGTGACTTTCAGATATAGCCATATTCGTATAGAATGTCTTTGATCTATCTCTCTCTCTCTTTCTGATGTGCATTTTCTGCTTCCTGTATGAAAAGTCAGAAATTTCTTAATGTAAATCTGTAGCAGGACCTGGAGGTGCTTTGCGAGTCTATCTGGAAGGACTAGGCAATGCTGAAAATGTACAGAAGTATGTAGAGGAAAATCCTTTTGGTCAGCGACCCATCACGGAGAAAAATTTATCCTGGCGTTTCTATCTTAAGGTTATTGAAGCAATGTCATCAACATCCAGAGATATTCATTACAGATATTCAAGAGAAAATTATCACTGGCGAGCAAGAGATACTCCTGATAGATATTCAAGAGAACATTATCACTGGCGAGCAAGAGATACTCTGAATAGATATTCAAGAGAAAATTATCACTGGCGAGCAAGAGATACTCCTAATACATATTCAAGAGAAAATTATCACTGGCAAGCAAATAGATAATTGGCTGTCAGATTTGATACTGCTAGTCGTTTTTGGATCCAAATGGTGCAAGATATCTAACAGTTGCAACATAACTTCAATTTTGCTGGCATGTGAATATTGGGCAAACCAGAAATATTTGGATGTGATAATCCTGATGGATTTCCTTGTTTTGCTTTCAGTCCAAGGCAGAAGGTACGCAGCAAAGAAATTACTTGGACATTCGATCTCAGGCAAGTCAGTTTAAGACAAATTAGTTTTGATGATAGATACTTCTGCTGTATATTGGCCATTTTGCACTTCGGCCATATGGATCGCTTATTTTGGATGATAAGCTTATTGTGAAGATGCAGTTTTTGTTTTCGCTCTGCTGCTCCTGTGGGCTTTTATAGCTGCCTTCTCTTTTTCATTCAACACCATTTAATACTAGTGGAGATGACATGAAAGCTTGTAATCTAGTGTAAACAAAACACCGCTTTTGTACATTTAGCATCATGCACCGTATAATTTAAAAAAGGAAAGAAAAGAAACAGTATGCAGTGTTTGTTATTTGGGCGCGGGCTTGGTTTGTTCGGCCTAGATCCATACTTCCATAATGTTTGTGCTAATTCAGAATTGAAAGGTTGTTTCCCTTCTTGGGAGTTACTCAAGCCTATACTAAACCAGGCTGGATATCAAGGTCATCAGAATGGAAAAAGCATAGCAGCCTTCAATAGTTCAGCTTTGGAAAAGTCTTTTTTCAGCCCTTTGAGAGACCAGCTAAACAGCATGAATTGCAAAGAAAGTAGCAGACACTTTCCCCATGCAACCTAAACCATACTTCTGACTTTCCTCTTCAGTGTCAAAATCATCCTCTTTAGTGAGGGTTGTCCTGGTTTTGGCAAGCCTATACCAATGTATAATATGGTTCTGGAGCTTCTATCTATATTCTTCATAATGATCTTGTTTGCTTGTCTCTCTACCAGATCTAAAAACGCGAAAAAGATACTTAGCATATGATTGCATGTGCCTTTACCATCATCAAGGCTGTGATTAAGTGGTCAAGAGTCAGTGTTTGACATGCCTTCTTGTATTTTAAAGTACTTAAGTATTTTTTTTATTATATATTCATTGGGTCCACAGTCGACATTATAGACGGAAAAAAATTATTGCCATTACAAAACTAGTATGAGCCCACATCTGTGATTAACAAATATTTTGTCTGGTTCTAGTATTGGACCCTTCTGACAGTTGTAAAAGCCCATCAAACTCAGTGAATAATCTCATTTAAGTAAAGTAACAAGGTGTGCGGTGTGGGATTTGAAGTGGTTGGTGTCTAATAATAATCATGTGTAGGGGAGATCATTTGATTCCATTTTGATCTGATCTGGCATTTCGGTTGTATGATATGAATGTTCTTTTTTTTTGTTTTTTTTGTCAATACGATAGCTTCTTACAACTATAGGGAGAGAGAGGGTCTGAAGAAATCCTGAGATAATCCGGAGGACACTGAACAGCCACTGAACCAGACGGGTGCATTCGTCTGAATTTTTTAAACAATGCCACATTTAATTATGGCAAATTGATAGGAGACAAGATTTGAACCCTTGTCATCCACCCCACCAAGTCTTAATGCATTAGTGGTGGCCACTAGCTCAAAGCTAAAATATTCGAGTAGCTCAAATTGTTCATTTCTTTTTTGTGCTTGACTTTTGTCAGAAAAGCAAAAAAAAATTATTGGTTTACTTTCAAGTGTAATTTTTTTCCACCAATCAATATCTTAGTTTTTATATCAACAACATTTTAAGCTTTGCAATTTTGCTTCTGATAAAATAGTTCCACCATTGCAATTTGTCATGGTCTCCTAATGTGTTATAAAATTTGCCATCTTCGTGGATAAAGCAACCATGGGTATTTTCAATGAAGGAGGAATCCATTTAAAATAGAATAAAGAAAGTGACTAGAAAGGCAACATATGATCTTCAATTTCAAGCAAGTTCAAGTGTCTAGAGCCATCTATTTCTTGGATCATAAGTTTGCATATTGTAGTTAAACCATCTATAGTTGCTTCCTTTGTGGAGAAAGGTCACAATTGAACAATTCAATTGTATTAAGCTTAACAATTGACCTTTCCCTACGTGTGGCTTTCCGACGTTTGGTGTCCGAATCAATTAGCTTTCAACAATGATTTTCACCTGATATGGATGGCCAGAAAACTTACTGAAAGAATTTATAATTCGTCTCCTTCTTCACAATTCTTCATTAATAGCAACACCAGAAATTAGTTACTGTATTATTTATCCTTAACATCTTCTCATACAATCTTTCTTTTATAACACTTCCGATTAAAAGGAAAATAAAATGAAAATGGCACAAATTTGTGATTCCTTTTTGCTTAGATAACCACCATTTGATGGAGAAATGCATGCCGTGCTGTTTTATACTTTCTGGATTCTGTATAGAATCAAGAAATCACAGGAAGATTATTGCATGTGTTTCATATTAAATTAATCTCTGATCCCTGATCATTTCAAATATCTGCTGATTATATGGATGTGATTTTACAAGCATGTCAACCACAAAGAAAAAGTTAAATTCAGCATGAAAATTATTGAAGTGTGGAACTCTTTTGCTCCATTATTTATATTGTTTTCTCATAGTTTCCCTTTCTTGGTCCCTCAGTGTCCCCTTTCCCAGTTGTCTGCCAAACCACCACCGCAACCCCAATCCCTCTTCCAAAAAAAAAAAAGCCCCCCACCAAAAAAAAGTAGAAAAAGAATAGGAACTGAAATATTAGATACGATATGAAGTTCCATCGAAGCAAAATCCTGGAGATTTCTAGTTGTTTATCGTAATCATGATATAGAAAAGCAATAAGATTTATGAGTAATTGGCTCAAGTAATTGTAATGGCCCTTGATTTAATGACAGACCAAAAAAAATTGGTAATTAAGTGTTTGTTGATATCAGCACCATTTGGAATTTAGCAAATTTTAAAAAGGAATATAGATAAACAGGCAAAAATACTTTTTTTTTTTTTAAAAAAAAGTAGTGAAATGGAAAGCCCTAATTTCCATTTTTAAAAAAAAAAGGCATAATGTTGAACCACTTGTTATGAAAGGCATTAAAAATTACTGTTATCTATGGACAAAAAAATCATTTGTTATATACAGAAATTCTTGTACAAAATATACTCCAGCTACAATTATATTTATAAAGGCTAGCGGGTTTTGAATTCATGATTTTTCCTTTAATCCTACAAGTTCTAGGACCAAGCAAAATTCTTCCACATATTCTAAAAATAAAAAGGCCATCCCATGCACCATTCTCACTAAGAAAGGCACAAAATTTGTTGGATAACTTTCTTGTTTGTCGCTGACTGCTAATAATCACACAATCATTCATGATGTGTCACTTTACAGAGTATGATTCTTGTGGGGTGAGTTATAGAGCAGGGAAATAGGACATGATGTTGCAATCAAGCACAGGAGTGGATGGACGAGTTATGTTGTTTCCTTGTAACATGGGCTAAGATGATTGGGATGGTTAGTTGTTTGTTATTGCCTAATAGAAAATAGAGTACAACTTCATTCAAGAACCCACATGTGCTTCCCCCACCTTTATGCATGTGATATATGGTCATCCCACCCTTTGATCATTCCTCTTTGTCTTCCCACCTACACGTACAATTTCTCTGACTTTTCCTATTTTTTTTGTGTTCAGAATTTTAATTGCATGTTGTAAAAAAAAGACCCAACACGCGTATATAACCCGGTATATATAACTATATATGTACAATCAAGATTTCATTTTAGGGAGGCTATATAATTCACATTATTGCCACCTAAATACACTCATTAATTGTACAAGTTTTATCATGATGGTAGAAGGTTTGAATGCTTCGAAAGGTGAGGATGTAGGAAGAATGTGAATTAGGTCCTAACTAATCTAAGCACGACTCTTGTTATTTTTCCCATTCAACAAAACTTACAGTGAAAAGGTATGTTTAGATGTGTGCCAAGTGATCGCAATATGGGTTAAGCCAAAGATGGTAAGGTTTTAAAGAGATCCAGCATGCTTATCTCTAAACCTACCTAAAAATCAAGTTCAACCCTTAAATAATAAGGTAAAATTATATTTTTCAAATGTTGATTGTCTAACTATCAGCACACAACAAAAAGAAAGTTAAAAAATTTAATACATGCAAACCTCGATTAACTTTAATCAGCTCACTAATTAATTACTTAAATATCTGCGCTAGGATCGTTTATTAACCGATCTTTCATTTGCAGCCTAGTTTCTGATTTGATTTTTGCTTGATGCTTTGCCCATTCAAAAGACAGTCCCCTTTCCAAGTTCATTTCTTTTCTGTTGCTTCGCCTAAGTCTTCAAGTAGCTTAAACGATTGTCCTTTGTCAAATTGATAAAATTGCTCAATTTTGTTTCAGAAGAAGAAAACTTTCACAATTGGCCACTATTCTTGAACAACTTGGAACCGGTCCTTCTTGTCGCACTATTACGAATATGAAAATGGTCAAAATCGGATTCAATTGTCAACTGTCCCTATTAGAAATAGGATTGATTATCGATTCTGAAGGAGCCTGCCTCCAAAAAAAGGTCGTTAAGGGCGAAATTAAATCCTAATTAGCTTAAAAGTTTAACATTTAACTAGGCAACCAATAAGTAAGACCTAACAAGTTACAGTATCTGCATGAAAAAGAAAATAAATAAAAAAAAATAAAAATGGTTTTTTGGGTCTATCATTATTAAGGTGAATCACCACACACACACACACACGGACATATAACTAGATTAGTTGGAGACTTGGAGTATGGGTCTGAAGCAATAAGCTGATGGCTCGATTAAAGCATAAACGTTTAGTAGAATTGTTTTTGTTAAGGAAGGTGTCATTGTTGATTGTACAAAGAGACTAAATGCCTCTTTGACCATAGCCACATGCTACTTTCCAAACAGATGTTGGATTCAATAAATTAAAGATAAGACATATCATGAGAACATCATGATCTTGTCATGTGGTTTTTCACAAGAAACAAGAAGTTAAAGTGCTAAAGCCTACGTATAGTTTAATGTTACATGTGAATTCTTCTTCTTTTGCCAAATAGGCCTACTGTCCAAGATAAATTGACAAACAAAAAATACAAGAAAAATAAAATTAGCAAGAATGTGGACATGGAAAACAAAATTAAAAAAATCACGACTTATGAGCCCTTTCGGACCAGGATTTGGAAAAGTAAAACAAGAGAAATTGTGTACAAAATTTTTCAATGTGTTAATCATATTTGATTAAATTTACAAAATTGAAAGTTTGTTACTGTAAGAGGTAACTTGATAACATGATCTCTAACTTTCATATTCAATTTCAAAATTGAATATGAAAGTTACAAGGTTACTTATGTCATGACAAATAATTAGGACCGAGGGAGTAATTAATTTGAAATTTGATATCAATGTGTTACAAGGCTAGAAGCCCAAAATTAAAGGAAGAGAGAAAGGATTTACATTTGAAGGTATTAATGCGCCATTAATTGCTAAATGGGTGAGGCCGGTACC